CAATAAATGGCGTGAGAAGACAGCGAAAAACTATTTTCTTTTGAACCCTTTGTTGGCTCTTTGTCAGATTAAATTTGTCCAGCCTTATTAGTCTTCCCTGTCTCCTTACTTTTGGGAAACTTCTGTTGCCTGCCCCACCACCATTTGGCCACGTTCGCCAGGAGAGGGCCGTCCACCGAGGAGCGTTTCCGGCGAAATTCGTGTCGGAGCCGTTAGCACATTAAAAGGGTTCTTCCAGATGGTAGCTCAATGCCTCGTCATTCTCTGAATATGAGTAGCCCACAGGCTCACCTCAACAAGTTATGCGCCCGAAAGAACCTTTTCCTAAGCAGGAGAAGTCACGCATTTTTTACCAACTAAGACATAATAGGAACAATTATATTGATTATATAGAGATCATATAGAGTTGCTGCAGACATTTTCTTGAATTTTTCGCATTAAACGCCTTTGGTGTATTTAACGGATGCATGCTTAGTTAAACGGAAAAATATCACCCCTTAAAATGCCCGTTGTAAAAGGGGTAAGTTAAGATCGGTTGGTCATAAGCAGGGAGGGTATCTACGCACATGTGAATACTTGTAGTTTGTTTCATTTTTTCGTGTTTTTAATGTATATACAGATTATGAATGACCTTGCGGTTTATGTGAGTAGCTGTGTTGAGGGCCAAACTTTTCCACCAACTGGTAGTTTTTCACCTTAACTCGATCTCCAAAAGGTACAATGGCGAGCCGGAAATAACAATAACTGGTTAAGAACGCGAAAAACAGTAGTAAAATATTTCGGTTTAAGGTAGTAATGCGCATATTGTTGGAAAACAGTCTACGAACTGTTTCCTTGTTTTAATGGATAGCTTTACAGGCTACGGGGATTATTGACTTAAGCCAATGGTGGCTCGTGATGTGGGGGTTGTTGTTTTCCGTGTGATTTTGCGCCAATCTCCCCATCTTTGGTGCGTCATGGTCTTGCTGGTCTATTTATACATATGACGGCCCCAACATACTCCCAATAGTCTGAATTATTCGTCTTCGTTATACTGCATCTTGGGAAACTTGAATGTAGTAACCGGGCAAAGCATTAACTTAACACTTTCACAAGCACAGCTTGATTCACACAACCTCTGCCGCGTTAGACTACCAGTTAGGTGTCTCGGAAGCTGTTGCTTTAAAAAAATATCTTGTTGGTGGAGGTGTCCTGTCCACGAATTGTGTCGATGTTCATATTCGGGGCGTTCAACGGACTCCAGTCACAGTTCGAAAGCCCAGATGATCAAAGGGATCATCCAATGATGAATGGGATTGTCTTGTCATGTTAGGAGGAATTCGTATAGCTCTAAGGTCCTGCGAAATTCTACACATACTAAATGTTATTACGTACGTCTCCGTAGATAGACAAATCCATCAAAAAATTGGCGCGCAATGCCCGATTCTGCTAGCTGTATCGAAACACTTGCTCTCTCAATCACCTAGTGTGGTTTTAAGATTTTAAAGAGACGCTTTGGCTGAACCACGCCCCACCCGTCTAGTCCAAATGATCATTCGGCGAATTCTGTAGAC